CTTACCTCAAGTGAAGGAGTTCAAGTATCTCGGGGTCTTGTTCTCGAGTGAGGGAATAATGGAGCGTGAGATGGGCCGGAGAATCGGAGCAGCGGGAGCGGTACTGCAGTCGCTTTACCGCACCGTTGTGACGAAAAGGGAGCTGAGCCAGAAGGAAAAGCTCTCTGTCTACCGGGCCATTTTTGTTCCTACCTCACCATGAAGGATGGGTCATGACCGAAAGAACGAGCGGCCGCAGGGTGGCTGGTGTCTCCTTTAGGGATAAGGTGAGAAGTTCGGTCATCCGGGAGGGACTCGGAGTTGAGCCACTCCTCCTTCGCGTCGAAAGGAGCCAGTTGAGGTGGTTCGGGCACCTAGTTAGGATGCCACCTGGGCGCCTCCCTAGGGAGGTGTTCCAGGCACGTCCAGCTGGGAAGAGACCAAGGGGTAGACCTAGGACCAGGTGGAGGGATTATATCTCTTCGCTGGCCTGGGAGCGCCTTGGGATCCCCCAGTCAGAGCTGGTTGATGTCGCCAGGGAAAAGAAAGTTTGGGGCTCTCTGCTGGAACTGCTACCCGACCACGGATAAGCGGGAGAAGATGGATGGATGGATCTCAAGGGGCCATCCTTAAATAAAGCTTAAATATTATACTGTGACTATATGTAACATACTATGAAAAAGACAAAATAGAAGTCCATGTAACGTGTTTCACACTTTATTTATAGAAAAGCATTGAGATTCCAACACAAATCAATATAAAATGGTAGTAGCGTTACATAAATAGTAATAAATTCTCGCTTTATAGACAGTAGCTCAAGAAGTGGCGCAAAAAAATTACAAAAAACAAAAACAAGTGTTGATGATAAACTATCATACTTCTGTGGCAACAAATACTGGAAATACCTTTTCATAATCAGTAGCACAAAGAGGCAAGAAACACTTTTCCATATTCCCTTAAATTAGAAATAATCCAAAAACAAAACAAACTGGGAAACAGTGGGTGAACTAGATTAATAACAGCTAAAGAAAATAAAGAAAGAAAGAAGGAAAGAAAGAATAAGAACTGGTGGACAAAGTTAACAAAGACTGAAAAACACAGATCAAGTCAGAGGGAAGGACTTATTTGCAGTAATGCTGTCAGTAAATGTATCACAAAGCAGCTGGCTGGAACTTTAAAGTTAAGAAAGTAGTAAATAATAATATCCCTCTGATTTAAGAAGATAACCGTCTCATGCTAATGTAGTAACCAGAACATTAAATCAACCTTTTTTTATCCTCATCTATATAACATTTGCAACAGCAGAAGATGGAAACCCACTAACTTGAGTAAATCTTTGACTCAATAGGATAAGAAAAGGAAGTGGTTACCCTGAACGCTGCTCACTGACCATGCATTGCTCCACCCTGTGAGAGGGGGTAAGGAGATGAACAAGTGAAGATGAAATAACAAAATAAGTATAGCAATGAGAAAGAAGTCGTGAAAGAATAAAAAGAAAAACACAAGGTCATCCACAGGCCGTCTCCTTTGTTCAAACAATTGCCGTTTCTGACTCTTTGACATTTGTGTGTTGTTCCGTCTCACTGCGGCGCTGCCACACGGCACCTCCGAGAAGACACTGAAGGCATGAGTCCTGATTAAATAAAACCAACAAAGAAGTAAAGCAAAAATAAACTTTGTACATTGATCGGTCACAAAAGGCATTATTCCACCTTTGTCTTTTTTCCCCTCTCTTTATGTTGCAGCGTATGCAGGCCGGCTACTGCGCATTGTCCAAACACAAGCATGCTGAGTCTTGTCTTTGTCTGTCCCCCCTCTCTTTAATAGTGGTTCAGTCCACTGAGTCTCTTCTTCCACACGTTTAAGTTTGGAGGGGGGGCATCTTTAAGAGGTGACAAGACCTTCGAAGTGGTTCTGCATAGTCAGGTTTAGAACGTATCTTTACAAATGAATGCCTTCCTCATTATCCTCAACGCTTCCTTTTGGAAAACAGATGTTTTTTTTGTCTTTGCAAATCAAAGAAAATGACAAATAATAATAGTTATTATAGCAAAACTGAAAGAAATGTACACAGGAGCACCTGAGAAATGCCTTTAAGTGTTTGCTGTTACAAAAAATGCTGTCAAATTCCCCGTCCAAATAATTCAAGTAAACCCCTGCTAAAACAAAAAAACAAAAGTAAAAACAAACACGTAACATACTTATCATAAATAATTATAACTTTACAATTTTCTGAATTGACACTTTAATATTTACAATATCTTAAATGCTTAATGCTACTACTTTTTTGTTTTGTTTCTTTAAGTGATGTCCCTGAGAACTGAGTTTAGCCTCTCATACGCGTTCTTTTGCTCAGTTTTCCTTTTTTTGTTTCATTCTTCAGATCGAAAGGCCCAGAGTTGTGACTGACTACGAGGGTAGTGGGTGAAGGTAGCTCTCATGGAATGTAAAAAGCAGACAAGAAAATGTTCCCCTATTCTCCTGCCATCAACAGGCTGAACAACTAGCTGTGTGTGTGTGTGTGTGTGTGTGTGTGTGTGTGTGTGTGTGTGTGTGTGTGTGTGTGTGTGTTATATGCAGTCAAACAAAGTGACCAAACAATCAATAAATAAATGCTGAAGCAGGCAGGAACATACTGAAGAGGTATTTGTGTGAAGTGCTTATAAGATGACGTTTTCTCCGACCATTAAAGATTCAAACTCTTGCCGTTCTCTATACTGCCATTAACACTTTGCCACTGGGTAAGAAATAGGAGTGTGGGCATCGAATCATTCAGAATTGTTTTTTGCACTGTGTATCTATGACTCTTTGACAGTTCAGAAAGACTAAATCCAGTAGCATTTACAAGTTAATGGCTTTAGCAAGTTTAGAACCTTTTACATAACAAAACCAAGGAACTGACGGAATGAAATAGAACTTCAGGATCAACCAAAATCGGCATAGTTTGCTTTAGCCATGATGGAACCAGTGTGATTACTGTGTTTTTTTATGTTTTAGATATATCATTTTTTATTTTATTTAGTAAGCCCAAACAATAATAAAACCAAAATGAACAGATGTTTTAGCCAAGTGGGGGCATTGGAACAAGCTAGCACAACATTATCACCTAACCAAGTTACTCATACGTTAGCAAACAGTTGCTAATGTACTGTTATGCACATTGAGCAGAGATTGAGCAACATTGGTGTTCGTTTGGATTCATGTTCAGGTGACCTAACCTAATAGTCACTCTCATTTTAGCTCAGTTTTGGTCTCTACCAGCTAGCATGTGTTTGGTATAAGATATCTAAGTTAGCATTTATGCTAACAACCCGCTGCTGTTGGAGACTAGGACGATGTGCAGCGAGACCAAACATTTAGCTACATGACTCTAAAAAGCTAAGGCAAAATAGAAACAAGTAATAATTATCTGTGGGGTTGTTACTAGAAGCCCGTGTTTTTATTACACAGTTGATCTATTTTCACATGACAATATTAATTAGTGCAGAAGTGCTATAAGCCTAATTCTATTTTAAATTTTATAAAAAAATATTTTTCTCTAGATACAATTGTTATTATCTGTCCACAATGGTTGAATGGTTTAGCACTGAATCGCTCTAACCTAATTTTAGATAAGTATATTTTTCAAGGATTTTTTTAAATTTCCATTCCATTTATTCTGTCAGTTTGACAGCAATTACGGAAAACTACTGAGAGGAAATGTTTTGAAACTTGGTGAAAGGAAAGATCCCATTAGCTCCTGGAGGGGTTCCCGATCTTGGGTTGATACAAGCATTACTTCTCATTAATCGGAGGACTGCACTCTCCAAGTTCCCATTTATTTTAAGATAATAATGGCTATTATATTTGAATAGTGCTTGTTTGACTAACCAGGAACGGGAAGTACCGCACAGGTCAGGCCAAGAATCCAAGAGCGTTGGTAAAAAGTACTTTATGGAATGTCGGGGCTCTAGGGGTTGGAAGTAAAAGATCAAACGTTGGAACCAGATTTCTGCTCTTAGTCATGCTCTAGGTTCATGAAAAAGATCCAGGAAACAACTCTTAAAAGGTTCCTGAGTTCCCGGAAAATGTTTATGAGATGGAAAAGGGGATTTTGGCTTTGGTTAAGTCACTAAAAGAGTGAAAGGTGACCTTTTGGGTCTTCTAGGTTTAAAGGTTTGGCCACTGTACAGCAGTGCAGTGGTGCCTCTAAAGATTGGAATTTGTCACAGTTGTGTATTATCACTGTCTATAAGCCTATAGGATGACATATATCTGTATATATATGTGCACGTGGAGCCTCAACTACTCTACCTTAGCTAGAACAGCCTGAATAATGTAACTTTCAGGCTTCTGGATTTGAAACATGCACTCTGGTAAGTAACATGGTTGCTCCTCACACATGTAGCTCTGTTTTCTACCCTTTCTACTCCAACATGCCCTGAAGGAAATGGGCCATTTCTGATAGAGAAGTTAAAACTGGCAAATAATACAGTCGAGGTATGAGAGTAACACTAAGTGTGTTTTTTTGACCTCAGTATGTTTTCTTTTCTGTTTTGAAATTACTTTCAAAAGTTCCTTCCACTTTGAAAACCACTTCCTCTTCCACTTCTCCCTGAACCCAGCTGAAAGCATCGTCTGGCTCAAAGTAAGAACCCCATCCAACTAAATATTTTGGTTTTTTAAATCGTCATGTGCCACGGAAAAACAAATGTTTCTTTTCACAATCTTTTTAGTTTTTCATACTAAATGTAACATTAGTTGCAGGGGGTGAAAACGCTTTGTTTTTATTTGTTGTTTCTCTGACATTTCAAGTCCTTTTCTCCCTTTTTGCACTCTCAATGAAGTATGAGAGTGCAAACACTTTCTGGTTCACATTCAAGAAACAAAACAACAAAACAGGACAAAAACTTAAGACTTAGTCAACAAATGGCTCAACTCAAGAAGTAAAAACACATGGAATTAAAAAAACCTTAAATAGAAACAAATAAGTTTAACTACTTCTCAAGGAGTGGGGGGGGGGGGGGGGGGGGGGTCAAAGGTCAGCCGAAGCGCTCCCTGACCAACATCATCAGTTTCTTCTTGCCCTTGTAGATCTGTTTCAGGTTGTCTATGAACTGGGCTAACTGGATGTGGCCGTCCTGTGCCAGCAGGAAAGTCACCCCGTGCTTTGCTCAGGAACTCTATGAACTCTCCGTAGTGCCGCGGACTGATGTGCGTCAGTCGAGAGTGCGTGGTGTTGATGTACGCCGAGATTGTGGCGTCTAGGAGCTGCCGCAATGGCGCTTTGTCCGTTGACATTAGCTTCCCAGAGTTCCTTCTCCCGGGAATGCCGGCGAGGCCCGGTGCGGTCATGGTGCACCGCCGCAGGATGTCGGACAGCACCGTGGCGCAGTGCACGCTCTTTACCACCAGGGGGATGATGGCGGCGAGTTCGTTTTTACCCAGGGAGTGGCTGAGCGCGCAAGCCCAGAGCACGTCGTTAATGGCTGGGTGCGTGTCCTGGTTGTAGGCCAGGTTGAGGTGGGTCATGGCGAGGGAGGCCAGCTTGAAGGACCGCAGAGGGTACCCCCGGTGCTCCATGTACCTCGCGATGGTGAACAGCTGGGAGTAGGTCATCCCCGTAGACGCCGCGTCGATCACGATCTGGTAGGCCGTCTCGAAGGCGATGTGGTCCTTCTCGCAGAGCGTCAGGGCGGACAGGGCACAGTTCTGGGGGTCCTTCATGGCGCACTGCAGGGCGAGGGTCCTGGCGCAGCTGGCCAGCTCCTCGCGCTGGGGGTAGTCCAGGCTGAGGCGCAGGATGGTGTTGTGGGACATGACGGTGGCCGCCACGCTGCTGGTGGCCTCGGTCGGCGTGAAGAGAGTGTACCAGCTCTGGAGGATGCTCACCAACGCCCGCAGACCTGAGGAGGAGAGGGGGTCCAGATTAAACATTTGTTGTTGTAAAGATTATACAATGCTGGTTTCATTTAGTACTTTTAAGAGCTATTCAGTCAGTAGGGGGCTTGGACTGGGAGCCGTAGGGTCGCCGGTTCAAGTCCCCGACCAGACCTAAATATGGAGTGTGCACTGCTACTTGGAGAGGTCCCAGTTCACCTCCTGCCCTGCCGTGGTGCCCTTGAGCAAGGCACCGGACACCCATCCCATTGCTCCCCGGGCGTTGTACAATAGCTGCCCACTGCTCCTAGTACTAGACTCCTAGTACTAGACTCCTAGTACTAGGATGGGTTAACAAATATCGCTGTGTGCTCTGCATGTGTGACCATTAAAGAGGGTTTCATCACTCCGATTCTATTCTATTAAAAAAAAGAATCTGACAAGGGAGAAAAGGAAACAAAAGAAGCTTTATTGTAGCATACTTGAATAGCCTTTAAATAGGATCCCTCCAATGTGTGAAGCTTAAATGCAGACAAAACCCAGGTCCTTTATTATTATTATGAATCAATCAATGTTTCCCAGTCATTTTCCACCATTTCTTATTCTTTTATGTTTTTATTTTTATTTGTAATTTTGTGTACTCTTATCGATTCTTTTTTAATTTTCTACTGTTTTATGTTACGTGCTATTTAGCAATATAAAAAAAGTATTTTTGAATTCAAGCCATAATGGTGCCTGTGTGTGTGCAGTGTGTGTGTAGTAGAGGCATCACATACCGACTTCAGTGGCACAGGTTACTAGCCATCGAACCATCTCTCTCCTTCTCCAGTTCAGTGTGGACAGAGTCATCCTCATCACCTGCGAGGCAAACATGAAGAACGTTATGTATTTTCAGCTACTTTGTACAGTGGGAAAAAAGCATCTATTAAACACATAATAAATCCAGTATTTGCCTCGCATTCACTTTGACAAAACACCTCAAAATATATTTATAATTAAATAATAGTACAACACCACATGTCTTCAGTGATGATAGATGGATCCAAAAAAGTGTTAGGATTACACAGATGTCTAAATGTGACCCTTCCATTTTCTTTATTAGCAGTGTTGCTGTCAGGACTTCAGCTGATACAGTTAAATGCCAGCAGGAGGAGGAGGAGGAGGAGGAGGAGGAGGAGGAGGAGGAGGAGGAGGAAGAAGAAGAAGAGGCGGTTGAAGCCACAGCTATGCCGCAGCCTTGATGATCTGAAGCTTTCTTTTTTCCTATGTTTACCGTAAAACCCAAAAGGCTTAATTATGTGGTCTCTTCTCATCAACAACGGAGAGGCGCTGTGTGATGTTTTCTCTGCTAATTTGTAGTGAGGCTGAGGAGGCCTGCACAAATTACAAGTTCAAGGAAGCAGTAGCATGTTTCAACGAGTGACCAAATGATTTATGAAAACGGCAGACTCGCCCTCAAACTTCACTTGCTCTTATATATATATAACACACACACACACACACACAACACACACACACACACACACACACACACACACACACACACACACACACACACACACACACACACACACACACACACACACACACACACACACACACACACACACACAACCACACACACACACACACACACACACACACACACACACACACACACACACACACACACACACACACACACCACACACACACACACACACACACACACACACACACACACACACACACACACACACACACACTACCTGAAGGCCTAGCTCCAATGCCACGTTGAGCAGAGTTATATCGGGCGGGTTGTCTGCGGGGGTGGCGATTTTAAAGGCGTCCTGGGCCAGTTTGAAGATTAAGGAAGAGGAGTGGATGTTCTTCTGGATCGCCTCCAGCACCGTGCGCAACCTCAACATGTCACCTGCGGGGAAATAAAAGGTTATTAACAGCCACACAGTGTTTGAGAGACACCTGAAGGGGACACCTCTCCACTGAGACCACAGCTATGAGTACCTTTAGCAGCAGTGAGCATGGTGGAGGCCAGCTCACACTGCTGGGACTCCAAGTGACCCAGAGTGAACCAGCGCGGGTATCTACTGGGAACGATGGAGATGCCGTGGTGAGGGTGCCCCCCCGTCCCCGGAGCCTGCGGAGGACTCCAGCACCGGCAACCTGATGGAAACACACGACATTAGGTATGTTTCATCATGTCTTTAGTTCAAATTAAACATCTAAGATGGATTTCAGCATTAGAATTTGAAAAACACCCATGTGTAATCTAGTTTATAGAATAAATAAGAGTACATTTACTTATGACCACTACATTCAATGCAGATAACACAATACACCATCAAAAACATTGATTGAAGTATTTCTTAAGCAGAATTGCCTTTCATAGATCAAACTAATTGATACATCTAGAAAATGATCAGCAAATTAATGCATAATGACACATCCGTATAATGCGCTCATAATCCCTTGCTACAGGCTCGAAAATGACCAAAAAGCTGAATCATCTCTGCTCTTAAACAACTTAAATAAAACGGAGTATTTCAACAGGTTTCAGGCTGTGTTTAAACTCCTTTGGACCTCGTGAACTCAATATCCTATATAATTCGGTTTGACATTGGCTACAATTATTCATGGTGTTGGGAAACTGACCTCATGGCGCGCAGAGCCACCTTGTATGCCATGTCTGCGTCGTGTGGCAGCAGAGCGGTGAAGAGGTACTTAGCGAAGGTGTGCATGGGAACACTCTCCCTGTGGATGACCTCACCTAGACCGCTGAACGGACCAGCTGGATCAAGAGAAAGAATGAATTATGTTTAGTTTGCTTCTCAACAATGTGGAAAGACCAGGTGGCACACAAAGATGTCATACCTTCTAGTAGCTGGACGGACTGTTTCCGAAGAGTCTGAACCAGGAGGTCGTCTAGCTCGAGTTCTTGAAGTTTCACGACAATCTGCTCCTCGTTACGACACACCTAAAACATCAATTCAAGATTTAAGTTTCAAGGCTTTATTGCTACAGTGTAAATATGGCAATGACAAACTTAAGTCACAGGATATATAGGACATAAAACAAATAAAACAATAGAATAGATAGATAAAACATAGTCACAAATTGCATTTTATTCACTGTGATCAGACAGTAAATGTTCAATTTACTTTAAATGAAAGTGATGGAAAATGGGCCAAAATGCTCCCATGAAACATAAATAAAACCTCTGGGAGAGATGTAAAGAGATTGATATTTTCAGAATTCAAGGATGTAGAGTTCAGATTTGTGGTTCTGTTAAGTGGGAGGAACCAGCGCAGCGAGGGGATTTTGAGTTTGAGGTATTAAAGGACCAGCAGGGTTCTTTAATACCACTGACTCTCACATCTGTGTGTATCTACAGTCACAGTGAATATGTGAATTCATTTCACTATCAAGAATTCCTTTACCAAATGCAAGTGCTTACATTTTGCAACCCTATGTGTGTCTTCTTTGCCATGTTTTTCAAAGCACTTTGCCTTGTTGTTAAAATTGTTACACAAATAAACTGACCTTGTCTAAAACATTCATATTTTTGCTGATTGCACCTGACATTAAGAGCCATTTTTGCACTCCAAAGCAGATTTACATAAAACAACTTAATAGCGACAACATGACCTTTTCTCTTTTTTTGCATAGCAAATGCTTCACACAGATGTTCAATGAAAGTGTTTTTCTAACATTGTCCACACCATGCAAACTCACACAGCTTGTTTTAATATGCAACAAACCATTTATGTTTTCTTACATGAGGGGGTAAAGTCTGTTTTTGGATTAGGTTAAAATGTATATTGTGTATTTTCAGGATTACTGTACCTTATCCTGAGCGTAGAGACCCTCTGGCATTATCCTCTGCTGGCCCATTCCCATCAGAGCTACCTCTAAGGCCAAAGTCAGGTATGACTCCCCTCCATCAGAGCTGCCCCACACGGGAACATGGTGGTAGACCGGAGGCCTGAGGTCACCATCTGAGAGGAAGGAAGAAAGAAAGAAAGGTATTTAGATAACCAAAAGAAGATGTGTTTAAATCTGAAGAGAAATACTAGTGTTATTACAATTAACTGATATGTCATTGTGTGTCGAGATGAGCCTACTGCCCTGTTAATCTCATACCCAAAAGATCACAACAAAGATAATAGTTCCTGTACTTGAGTGACAGTCATCATTTCTGGAAAGAGATGAAAGAGACCTTGCCCCAAAATAAATATATGAATGCCATATAATTCCAATATATTGAAGAAAAGGCACACATCTCTAGTGTTATATTTACAAAAGACTCAAAAGTTGATTTATTGATTAAAAAAACCAACGGGAAAGAGGGAAAATATGTATTTTTGAATTTGGGGTGAACCTCCCATTACATTTTCAGAGAAAATTATACTTGGTATGACCGGTGTATATATACCTATAACGCTTTCTTTACATATGAACACAGTATCCATGTTGAACTGATCACCAATTGGACACTAACCCTACAGCAATGCTCGGCTGCTCTAAGTGAGAACAGATGCCACGAGAGTCTCAGCTGTTGATTGGTGCCCATTTGTTCTCTCTGTCTCCCCCACCCCATAATTCTGTTTAAATCCCCTGTGAGCAATAGATCCCCCTCAATCCCGCTTATTCCACGAATGTGTGTGCAAGTGCGTGTGTCAGTGAAGAAATCCAGGGAAAAGTGGAAACTGATTTTACAGGCTTAACCCCAGTGCTATCAGTTTTTGTTGTTTTGTATGTGGGCTGACGTGTGATTGGTGGATTTGAACTGATCAGAGAGTGAACTGCATTTTCATTGGTCGATGCATAGTCTTGTGGCCCAGCCTATTTTAACAGATGTTCCCAGCTGTCTTCCAGAGGGAAATAAAGCATGGTGACCGGGCTAAGCCAACACTCAGAAAATAGCCATATACATTCTCAAATTCCCCAAAACAACATAAGACAATCATTCACTCTATCCCCACAACAACACACAACATTCACCAATGAGTGTGCCAGCATTTGTTTGGGTTGACAATAGTTCCCTGTAGCCTGCTAACAATGGGAAAAACCCCAACCCCTATTCTACTATGTTGCATAGCCACTGGGGGAAAAAAGGGTGGGAAAGGCAAATGGGGAGAGAATCCGAGACCACACACACACACACACACACACACACACACACACACACACTACACCACACACACACACACACACACACACACACACACACACACACCACAACACACACACACACACACACAACACACACACACACACACACACACACACACCCCCACACACACACACACACACACACACAGCACACACACACAACACACACACTACACACACACACACACACACACACACACACACACACACACCCAACACACACACCACACACACCACACACACACACACACAACACACAACACACACACACACACACACACACACACACACACACACACACACACACACAACACCACACACACACACACACACACACACACACACACACACACACACACACACACACACACACACACACACACACACACACACACACACACACACACACACACACACACACACAGTGGTCTAAATGATCAGGGTGTTTCAGCACGATCCATTCATGCTCTGCTGGTTTATGGCCTGTCTGCAGCACAATAGCGCCCGCTCCTGATATAAGAACATGGAGTCTGTTGTCTAATGAGTCAATGCTGGTGTACCCGCTCACCTCTGAATTACACCGCATCAGCTGGTGAAGTGTGCGAGGAATTATACCCTGTGTTTTAACAAATGAAGCTCTTTGACCCATGTATTGTGAGGGAGGTCGAGTATGTGTTTGGCTGAAGTACATGTACATGGCTTTTGCTTAGTGGACAGCAGGTTACCTTACTAATGGCAGTACAAAAGTGGACATGCAGAGAGGGAATGATTCTGATCTTAATGTGTGCATTAAGGTGGCTATAACTAACAATACTTGGAACATAAAAGGTAATTTGACATGTCTGAATGATATTGAAACCTTTCAATCTGGCTGTGTCTACCTTTTATTTCCTGTCTCTAGAAATAGTTAGGTTGCTACAGCTCTGACCAGCACTCAATACTAATGGCTGCTCATAATGGAGGCGACGTGGGAGGTGAAGCTTATTCTCAGCTCACCAGGTCACCATGGTAAAAAGCCTTGTTAAAATGTCAATGTGAAATAAAATATGAACTTAAAGTCATATAAACATTTATGCACGAGCCTTAAATTATAACAAGCCTTCTCATAATCTTCTATTAAGATCCGAAGCACATTAGAAAACAACACATCTCAGTTTGACAGACTTATTTTGTGTTTCTGGAATTGACATTTTCTAAGAAATAAGAATAGAAAAATATAAATAAGAAAACCTAAGCCAATCAATAATAAAATAAAGTACAACATTTTTTTTTTTTTTTTAATAGTTAGAATTCTTGAGCTCACAGAGCATTCAGAAAGTGTTAGCGTTTGTCTTTTTATGTAATCAATATTTTATCAGTAGATCATATTTTCAAATATAAAAATTCTAATCTTATTCACACTTTACTTTTACGTTTTCATGCCATCATTTGACACACAGCCCACTGGAGTAGATCCTGACATTTGTATCCCTTATGAATTGAATTGATATCATTTAATAATTTAATGTATATATAAATTGAATACAAATGTAATGGAATATTGAGTTACCGAAAGACCTAAACATGTCCGCCTTTTTCCATTTTATTATCTTGAATCGAACCGTAGGACGATTCTCTGAGTTGTTATGATTTGCCATAACAAATCCTATAGAGAGAACTATTTCAAAAGTAGAAACCATTTCTTCCTACCTCCCGTATCCATGGTGCTGTCGTCGTCCACACGGCAGGTTTCGGTGAGGGTGACGAACAGACAGCCAATCGGGTCTAAGGGATGACCCACCCAGCCCTCCAGGTTGGTGGTGGAGGTCACGCCCCTCTGGAGGAGATCTGAGAGTGGAGGATAAATGTTAAAAAAACATTAAACTAACTCCGGAAAACAAACAACAGCATATATTTAAATACAAATGTGTATGTGGCGTACCTTTCTTTTGGTGTTTGTAGATGTCCATCTGTCTGTGCTGCTGAAGGCGGAGTGTGTTGATGATGGCGACGGCCAATCGTAATGCCTCCCTGGAGTAGCCGTGGGAACGCAGGGCGTCGACGCGAGCGCAAGCCGTCGGGACGTGGTCTGTGTGTGAGATGAATGAGAGTCAGGCTTTACACACACGAACAGAGTGACATTGACACAACCAAAGAAACGCTGTGCTGGACACAACACACACACACACACACACACACACACACACACACACACACACACACACACACACACACACACACACACACACACACACACACACACACACACACACACACACACACACACCACACCACACCACACACACACACACACACACACACACACACACACACACACACACACACACACACACACACACACCACACACCACACACACACACACACACACACACACACACACACACACACACACACACACACACACACACAACACACACACACACACACACACACACACACACACACACACACACAAGAACGCCTGTGTGTCTGATAGCTGGCTTAAATTGCAGAATCCGACAGATCTTAGCTGGAAGCTGCTTACTGCAGATACTGGCCTCAATATCAGCGGAATTAGTGTGTGTGTGTGTGTGTGTGTGTGTGTGTGTGTGTGTGTGTGTGTGTGTGTGTGTGTGTGTGTGCTGGTTCGGCTTTCAATGAAATTAGAGTCTGTGTGTATGTGAAATAAACACTTTTGTTCCTCTTGAAAATGACGAAAAAATAAGGAAACACTTTTTGAGGACTGAAATAATCCCAATATGACAGTGTGTGTGTGTGTGTGTGGTTGCTCACCGAGCCACAACGGCAGGCCCTGGGGGTTGAACAGCAGGCTCTCTCCCTCCCTCTGGTAGGATGGAGACATGTAGTGGTCGCTGCTGATGATCCTCTGGAGGTGGCTGTCCTGCCAGTGGAGGTCACAAGCCTCCACGGCTCGGCTGAACACCGACCTCCTCGGCCTGGTCAGAGAGTCTGGGAAAAACAGCACACACACAGGGTCAGTAAAAGCGCCATGTGGTCCTATCATATCTGTCCAGGCAGTGTATTCATATTTTGATTACGCAGTAGAATGTGTGTTTGTGCTGACCCTGTGCCAGGCTGCTCTGCGGCAGAGCGTTGGTGATGTTAGGAAGCTCGCTGCCGTAGTTGCCATCCTCCAGCGGGCAGATGTCCATGTCGCCCCATTTCTTCAGCTGCTTCAGCCAGCCGGTCTTCTCCTCGCTCTTACAGTGGGGGTTTAGCACCACGCACACCCACAATGCACCTGGGGGGTTAGAGAGGCAGTCAGTGGTTAGGAAGGAAGGTTTTGTTGTACTGTCTAATATTGGACCAGGGAAGTGTCCAAGCTGGCGGAATTCTACTAATACTAAAAAATACACTTTTCCTTAATGTTCCTCAAAACTTACAAACATAATGAAGCTTTTTTCTTTTATAAAAGTAATCAATTTGCCATTACAATTCCTTGATCACAAAAGAAACCTCAATGCTGTCACTCCTGCCCAACTGATTTCAGTTTTTAAATGTAAGGATAAACGGTTCATTCTTTCTTCATACTAGATATTTTCTTTTAGAGTCCATACAGTAATCTGTATATTTTTGTGTTTTTTTAAAAGATATTTTTGGGGCTAGAGATTGCCTTTATTGAGACAAAGAGTGAAAGGGGGAGACAGAGGACAGGCAGGACATTGCCTGTAATGTTCGGGTACAAGATTGTGTACTATTAGAAATGAATAAATAAACAAATTAAAAAGGCATATAGGCATTTTTACTATTTTCCGATATTTCATTGACAAACAATGTATCTATTAATTCAGAAAGCTTGAAGCCTTGATTGAAGCCTTATCAAATACAAATAATATGGCAAAAAAACTCAAATAAGTGGTTTTAATAGTAGTCATGTTATTATGCCTAAAAAGCTGAAGAATGTGCTGCTTTTTGTTTCTCCCATTGACTTTGCCATGGCCGTTTATTAAAGCCAGAGTCAAAAGCTTGCTGGCCTTCTCCATTAACTTCACTACACTTTAAGCACCTGCTCTCCATACACAGACCTGGAGCGGGGGTCAACTGTCAGATGTCTGCATCTCTGAGGAAAAATGATCAGGCGGCAAACCCTGAGTGTCTGGCTGTTATTTCTGTCTGTGTCATGATCTCCCTCGCTCACCCAGGAAGTATTCTCATTGACCTCCTAAATGCTGGGATTGATTGCAGAAAAGCTGAGCAGCCCTATTGATCGGCAGCCTTTATTATTCAGTCTGTGAGAGGAGCGAGAGGAGAGCAGGAGGAGAAGCTGCTGACTGGAGGACCTAATAGCTCACTGACTGGAGGTAACAAGGTGACTGTCCATTTGTCTGAGTACCTGACAGGCCGGACACTTCTGTGGGCATGGCTGTCTGACCAGCAACATAGCTGAGTGGCCAACTCGTAAACAAACTGGGAAAGCACACGAAGTAGAGTCTAGATCTCTGGTGTGACCACCTCCTTTATTACATTTAGCTGATGCTTTTAGCCAAGCAACTGTTAAGCATTTAAACATGAAGATACAAACTAAAAAAACTGTTGGTGAGAATACCCTTGTCCAAATTGTGGGCCAAACTTGGACTTTCTGACCCCATACACGACTCCCTTGCCGGTAAGATTGTAACAAAGCAAACAAAAACATGGATTTATTTATCTAAGTGGATCTGAACATATCAAGTTTGAAATGAATCAGAAGGTTTCAAATTAGATTACATTATCTATGGAGTTCAGTTTTAATCAACAAAAAATGTTAATGTGGCGTGTAATTGTATTTTGTGTGTTTGTAAATTAAATTAATTGAGTAGGTAAAGTTTGTTTTTAGCCTATTGATAGCTGGAAATGCCTTTTGCTACTGAGGAGTAAGAGAACATTGAGGCTGATGGGTTCATCAGTTTTTGACATTAGCTGTGGACAGACGCACACTGGTGAAGATAATAACTCATTTTTACAATGTGTTTTCTTTCTGACATTTTTCTCCGACTGTTCTTACCAAGTTCATCCCAGAGCTGCCGACACTTGTCTGTCATGCCCGTGCCTTGCTGTCTCCATAGCGACAATCGAGGGTCTGCCATAAACTGTTCCGTTATGAGCGTCAGCATTCGGGCTCCGTTGGAGTCTCGCATTCGTAGCATCTCCCTCACCTGTAAAGACCCGGAAAGAGAAATATGTCTGTTTAGTACTGAACTGGAGTCAGTGTGATATGCTTGTAAACAACCAGAAAAGGATAGCTAACAAAAAGTCCCTTCAGAGTGAATTGAACATATAAAGCATGATGTCTCGAAACAGCCCCATCATAGAGGATCCTTTAGGGTCAACATGAGGTTACACTCCAGATATTATAAACCCTTATGAATACCACTTGGAATAAGAAAGTGCTCAAAATCTATGTCTGAGTAAAGTGAGCTTGTTGGACTCAGACAAAGACTAAGAAAAGGACATTTATGAATCCTCAATCAACTTGCAAAAACATAATCAAGACTTGTTAATGCCTTGAGTTTGAATATTACAGTTAAAGAGATCTTAAGATGTTCTTGTGCAATTTAGATAGAGCCATACTAGTGTCTACAAGTCAGGACATCGATTTTGACTACTGTCTTTTTTAAGTCTCCTGTGAGTCCCCAAAGTTTTAACTAAGTCCAATACTAAATCACTTAAGTAGAAGAAGTAAAAAATGTCAAGAAGAAATCCTCAAGACAATATTCTTTAGAGTTAAACAATTATTTTACTCATTTGTGTCATGATTGATGATTTTGACAATAGTAATGAAATAAAAAAGATCTATTGTGACAGAGACAGGAAGAGGCGGTTGCCCTTACCTTCGCGAACATGGAGTTGAGTTGCTTCCCAGAGCCATAGTATCCTCCCTGTGACAGAAACTGTTTGACTTGCTCCCTGACTTGATCCTCATCCAGATGCCAGCAGTTGTCATCATCAATGCTGGCGCCTGCAGTCGGGTCCGGAGCACCTGGAAATACACACACAAATTAAACTACAGGCACAAACAGTGACACAACAACAGATCTTAGCAATCCAATCTAAAGTTGGTACTCGGATAATTTTCATACCAATTTGTTTTACATTGAAGTTGCAGTGCACCTGTATTTGAGAAAAGCTGCTTCTTTTTATGCTAATCATGCCGTAAGAAATATATGGCCAACTTTATTTTTCTTCAGTTCTGCACTGTGTGCCTGAGTTATACTTCGGGGAAATGCAGATATGCTCAGAAGGGGGAAGCTGCTTTGATCTAGCAGGAAGCGAGCTGAGGAAGGCCCAGAGATGTGTTTCCAACCGGCTAAGAGTACGCAACAGCAAACAGTAACATTATCCCCCATCAAAGCAAGCCTCCCTCCTGGAACGACTGAACTTCAACCCCCATGATCCCCCTTGTCAAACAGAGACAGGAAACACAGCGCGGGGCTTCCTGGACAGGAGAGCTGGAGAATGTCAACATTTAGCGCGGAGGATGAAATAGAGACGCAGAAGTAAAGTTTTGTTTGGTGAAAGGATGTGTATGCTTTGTCGTTTTCCCCGACGCGGGTCTGTTGAGGTTCTCCTCTTGTTTTTCATCTCGGGAAATATTTCGGTTCTTTCATCTTTCCTCTCCTTCCCGTGTCCAGAGAGCCATTTTCTCCCCGTCTCTTCCTCTCAGTGTCCCTTTTCCTTTTCACACATCTATCTCTAACTCCTCCTGCATCCATTTCATCCTTGACCTCTTTTCCCCTGCTTTCTTCAATGCTCTCCTGCCACTGGAAGGAGGTAGTCACAGGAGAGGAGGAACTAAGAAATCAAACAAGTCATTTGAAGCCTGACTTGCTGCTTTGCACGAAGAAATCAGGACTCTGACGCATGACGTAGCATGTTTAAAGTCTTAAGCTTTTAAGTCTGGCCTGTTGCTGTGAAGATATCACTGCCGTGGGATGGACAGCACATCAACTTTGCAAACGTGGACTTGGTGGATAAAGATGTTTTTAAAATCACATATCATGAGCTCAAAGTTTGCCACAATGTTTCCTCTCACCGTGGACCTGGTTGATCTCAGAGTTGGAGGAGAGGATCTCGTCTGCCAGTTTCTGAGCGGTGGGCAGCACCTCGGTGTGGTGGGCCGTGATCAGGTACTGCCACCAGCTCTGCAGCTGATCTCTGTTCATCTGGAACAACGTCTCTGAGATAGGCAACCGCAGCTTCACCTGTATCAGATACACACATGGAGATGTTGATGTATGAAGTTTCAACTAAAAACGTATTGTTATTTTAAGTTGGTCTATGACATTTTCAGAAGAGGAAGTAGCCCTCTCCTGCAGTATGTGACATTTTTGTGACTTTTTATTGAGTGTGTTCACATCAACAGCAAGTTTATGACCAGTTTTTTGGAATATTCTTATATGTGTGTACATGTAAACATCACTTATCCAGTGAACTAAAATATATATATGCACCCCAAAGTACCCCAAAAGAAACCTGATACTGTTTCTAAGCCAAGGGCCGTATCACACAAGCATTTAAGCTCTAGAGCGTTAAATAAACATAGTTTTGTCTTTTGGTAATAAAAGAGACGTTGTTGTCTCCCACACTTCTGCGTGGTTGCAATGACAATAGTATAATAAAGGGATAAATATGAATAACCAAATGTATCTGCGCTCAAAAACACAATATCCAAATACAAATCGGAACCAGGATTAGCCTCATAAACAGGTTATTCATATCCTTGCAAATGCACTTGTAGACATATAGATATATTTTGTACATTACCTGTTCAGGCTTGCGAATCCTGTAAAGAGAGAGCGCCACCACATGGGCGCAGTAGAAAATGTCTCTGTTCCCGCAACCACAGGTGACAGATGGTGATCTTTGCATCGGTCGAAGCTGATGGCCACCTTGTGGGTGACCTCTGGATCTGAAGATGTGGCGGGTTCAGTTACTGTGCCACTGAGGTGAAACCCTGGGGAGGAAGAAGGAGAATATGAGTGAGCTTCAACATTCAATCACAAAGAAAAGTCTTCGGTTGGATGCACATTTAATCATCCTGACTTTTTATAGTTGATAATGCAACAGGTAACTGCAAATGTAATGTTTAAGTTAAGTTGAATGAGTTTCTATCGTTATGAATAATTATTTGCAAAAGCTCACATGATGAGCTCAACACGCATCATGTTCCTTGGTTTCCTAAAGTTAAGTTCTTCAACATCAACGCTTCCCGTTTCCTTTATATTAGCTTCTACCCAGATCTTGTGAATGGACTACCAATAGAATAAGAAACAAAAGAGAAGGAGCATCTGTGGTAATCTGAGCCTCTTCAAACCTACAGAATGAACCGTTGGTACAGAACACACACATCTTAATGAGACATCTCCCAGTAAGACACTGTGCCATCTGATACTCCCTCTACCTTTCTCTCCTATGTCTCTATGCATTTGTGTGTGTGCAGTGAATGGGGGGTGCTAGGGTGTGATCATTTCCTTCCTGCCCACACACTCAGCCCCGAGGATTGTAGGATAGTTAGCCTGGAGAGATAACTCTGCTTTGCCTAGTTCATATTTAGGGTCTCCGCAAACTGAGTGACCACTGGCCGTTGGCAGATGTTGGGCTGTTGTTGAGAGTCCTGTGGGCAACCATTGCTTGTACATTTAAATGGTACATCAGGCATTACTGGCTTCTGTTTGCCCTTTAAAACCACACGTTGGCCTTTTGGCATGTTGACTTGGACTGGATAGACTATTGGCGCATTCGATTCCCTTACGCATGATTATCTTGGCCATCGCAGACCAACAGCTGTAGTTTTTGCAGTCGGAAGGGCACTTATGGCCTTTCAAAGGGTTTCCAAATAAACTCAACAACAGGTCGTTTCAAGTTGCAGGAGACAATAAATACTCAACTGGGAGTACCCCATGGTTTTGACCTAGGGCCACAATGCTTTGCTGATGACACGAAACTTAATGATTCTGTGAAATTAGGAGCAATCAAGCAGAAGTCTGATGTTTGGCTCTATGAAACCTGATGTACTTATATGATTGTGTCTTCCTGGTCGAATGTACTTATTGTAAGTCGCTTTGGACAAAAGCTCAGCTAAATGCAATGTAATGTCCTTAAAGACATTTAAGAACATCTTAACATTCAGATATCAAATAACTTCTTAAAACTCAATGGAAAATAAATCAGCTTGATCCTGTTTGTGTTATACTTAACAGCATTTGACACATTTTATAACCTGGCAGCCTCAATTAAGCCTAGTTCCAGAAATGTGGGTCGTTTATTCTTATCCTACCTTCATTTCCTAACATTTAAATAGTAGAGTCCAGTATTTTGTTGGTTGATGCTAACCTAAAATAAAGTCACATTGAGTTTTAACTACATTAAATGAAGCAAACGATTCAAGCCCTTTCATTGCAATCTACTACAGTGTGTTGTATTGCCCAGACACTAAAAGACATTGTGTGTGACAAGATAATACAAAATAAAAAAGGTAAGATCATATTAAAGTGGAACAAAACAAATAGCATAAGTTAAAGAATGGTGAGGAAACGGAGAGTATTGAGGCTGAGATGGGGGAGAAATGAGAGAGGAGAACAGAGAATAGAGGAGCGGAGAGTGCATCTGGTCTGTCCTGCCGTCTCACTGTGACAGGTCAATTATTTATGCAGTGAGGTGTGCATGTGTGTACGTGTACACATTGGATTACTGTATCCAACCAAACCATGGCAACCCGACTGCTGCTTTCAAGCCAGAAATGACAGAGGAGAAAGAGAGACATAGAGGAAGGACAGGCCATCTAACAGGGAAGCTGATATGGTTATTCTGGGCTTGGGCTAAAAAAAAAAAGTACATGTCTGATGCTAAAGATAACAACACCAACATACACACACTAGTGTGGTTATAGCAGCCCAGATACCCCCGTAAAGACACTCAAGCACACAAAGGTTAAGATCCTATCAACTACAAACTGCTTTTACTATGATGAACGAGAAGAAAAATAAAGAGCAGCAGGAGTACAAGGGAGGGAACTGACCAGAACATGGAGGGTTATCCAGGCTGATGGGTGGGTGGTTCACAACTGCTGAACTAAAATATATTCTGGAACCAGACCAAATGTGTTACTTCTCACCAGTATAGTAGCCACCCACTATTTCCACCTAAATACCAGATTGCAAACATGAAAGTACCAAAAAGGCATACAGCAGACACTTCAGAAAGAGTTTAGATGAAAATAGCAGTGCCTTGAAAAATGGAAGTGCCTATTTTGTGTGGGTGTGCTGCTATATGTGTAAAACTTTGGGTGATACTTATTATCCATATGTATGGTATTTTCATGCTGGCAAACACTTACTGTCAACTATGCCAATGAGGAGGGCATCTGACTATGACATGAAAGATGCATCTTCCAGTGCTAGACAGAAAAGAAAAGAAAATGGTTGAAATCTCCCCCTCCCACTGAGTCAAATAGTCAACCAATGTGTCTAGCTGTGTGAGGGGTAATATCAGATATGCAAAAAAAAAGACTTTCCATTCCTTCCCACTGTCTGTCTTCATAATGGATATACCTTTAGAGCCAATTTTCACTAAAACACAGCTTGGTGTAAAATAGTCCAAATGTGATCTTCCAGAGCTGAAATCATCACAGCGGAGAGCACAGGATCAGGCAAAAATCGGGGGAGTGCAATTCTTAAATGCATCAGGGGAACATTTGAGAGCTACCTTCCTCCAAGCTGTCTAAATAATGTTTCGCCAGTCATCATTCATCACTACACTATTCTCCAAAATCCAGTGAAGTATCTGTACAAGTTCTTAGTCAGATGAATTGGGTATAAAGCATTTCCCACAGCTGGGAATGCTGCTCTCTCTTTCTGTCTTGGCTTTGGACATAGACCACCCCCCCTTCTCTCTCTGTCTGCATCTGTTAGGTTAAAGCCTATTGTTACTCAGACCACATGGATGAATGTGATGGTGACACCACTGCTCTTTTCACTTTCAATCAAGTCTAAAATGGCACACACAGTTCGTCTGTCTGGCACCCCTCCCTTGTTCCTGTTTCACACATAACATCTGCAACAGAGATGGGTTTCATTATCTGTAAGTTAGCTGTTTTTGGCATTCATGCCTCAGTTAAGTCGTTTCCCACACAAGATGGCCATTCCTAAAAATTAGGTTAAACTCATGCGAGACTTAATGTCTGACTCATGAGGCTAAGTATTTCTGGTATTTTAAACACGTTGAATGAATGAGCCACATGCTTGATATATGTTGTGATATAGATGGGGACCTAGAAGAACCTTGAGGTACTCCACAGTTGAGTATATTTCGATCAATCAATTTGATTTATATAGCCCAATACACATTTGCCTCAGTGGTTTTGCAGATTATCAGCATGCAACTGTCATCCCTATTGATATGATATGGATTATAATATTTGATATTCCTTTCCAATGTATTTAAAAAAAACTAAAATCCATTATTTTATTTTTCACTCTCACATAAAGAGTGCTTCTGCCTGTGTGTGTGTTATGTAAAGGCTGAGGGAGACAGTGTGTCGTTAGCAGATGGGGATGCAATGGCACTTGATAAAAAAGATGCTGCATCAGACAGTCTGCAAGCACACATACACACAGTGAAGAAGAAACAACCTTTTCAGAGCCCATCTGCTTTCTTCTTAATACCAGTGACGAAACGACACAAACTAGTCAGTGATATTCAAAGCAGATATCACTAATCTCTCTCTTTTTTGTCATACACTCACACACACTCTCCTTGCTGTTTCTACTCCAGGCCATTGAACGCATTCGGCAAAACAGATGAATTTCAAACAAAGGTGAATTAGCGTGTGATGGTGTAAACTGGGAGTGTTGCCAAGCACAATGATCTGGTCTGATCCTTAGGGGAAATCACATGGCCATGTGTGTGTCAAGTATTTGGTCTGTTCTGATGCAGGTATGTAGGCTTGCCCTGAAAACCAACCCCCACACATTATGTTGAAGAGATAGCAAATGTATTTGTCATTTATGATTATTAACAATGTTACTTTCATTGTGTATGACACAAATTGGAGCTGCATTTAGAGCAATGTGCTAAAAACTCCCAGCTACAATCAATGAACCTCATAAAGAGAATTTAAGCTTTTTCTCAAGGATTGGTTTTTATACTGTATCATTTTCATTTCAATACAAATAAATGATGAATGTGGGTAGGACTTGACAATGTAAATGTCTATTATGGAGGCATCAACAAATGAAGTCAGTTGCATTGATGTGTGTGAAAAAACCAGAAAAAAGCAAGGAGACAATCAAAAGAGGAGAAAAGACGACTGGAGAGACCACATTGTACATCTCTCTTTGTAATTAGAGATGGACCCCCCTTGCTCAGATGTAAACACACACACCACACCGCCCTGTCTCCCTCCCTCCCTGTGTAGACCATCTGTCACTCGATGGAACCCCGCCCACACAATCCAGTCAGCCAATGGGGGAAGCAGAGAGCTCCCACACTCATAGGCCATTAACCCCTAATCAGCTGGGGAGATTGAGCTGGGCAGCCGTACCAAAGAGTACACACACACAACACACACCAACACACACACACACACACCCAACACACACACACACACACACACCACACACACACACACACCACACACACACCACACACCACCACACACACACACACACACACACAACACACACACATCACAACACAACACCCACACACACACACACACACACACACACACACACACACACCACACACACACCACACACCCACACACACACACACACACACACACACACACACACACACACACACACACACACACACACCACACACACACACACACACACACACACACACACACACACCACACACACACACACACACCACACACACACACAACTAAACCACATCTTATTCAACTAAAGCCTCACCACTGGCATCGCAGACAGACAGGGAGACAGA